CTTCAGCAGTGCAGCGCTGCGCGGGGGACGGAGGTGTTCGGCGGCGCAGCACTCGGTGGGGGGTGTTACAGCGGGGTGGCGCTTTTTTTTGCTGCTTGGGGCAGCAAAAAAGTTAGAGACGGCCCTGTCCGTCTCAACGGGAGGCGGAAGTTACATCGACTTACGTTACTAAACTTATGTAACTTAACTAGTGTAATTTATATTGACTTTCAGTGGCAGTGTAGACCAGCCCTGAGACTACAGTAAAGAACAGAATTATCAGACACATAGATGAACACAATATGTTGGGGAAGAGTCAATGTGTTTTTTTGTAAAGGGAAATCATGCCTCACCCATCTACTAGAATTATTTGAGGGGGTCAACAAGCATATGGACAAGGGGGATCCAGTGGATATAGTGTACTTAGATTTTCAGAAAGCTTTTGACAAGGTCCCTCACCAAAGGCTCTTAAGCAAAGTAAGCAGTCGTGGGATAAGAGTGAAGGTCCTTTTATGGATCAGTAACTGGTTAAAAGATAGGAAACAAAGGGTAGGAATAAATGGTCAGTTTTCAGAATGGAGAGAGGTAAGTAGGAGTATTCCCTAGGGGGTCTGTACTGGGACTAGTGCTGTTCAACATATTCATAAATGATCCAGAAAAAGGGGTAAACAGCGAGGTTGCAAAATTGCAGATGATACAAAACTACTCAAGTTAAGTCCAAAGCTGACTGCAAAGAGTTACAAAGAGATCTCATAAAATTGGGTGACTGGGGAACAAAATGGCAGATGAAAATCAGTGTTGATAAATGCAAAGTAATGCACATTGGAAAACATAATTCCAACTATACATATAAAATAATGGGGTCTAAATTCGCTGTTACCACTCAAGAAAGATCTTGGAGTAATTTTAGATAGTTCTCTGAAAACATCCACTCAATGTGCAGTGGCAGTCAAAAAAGCTAACAGGATGTTAGGAATCATTAAAAAAGGGATAGAGAATAAGACGGAGACTATCTTATTGCCCTTATATAAATCCATGGTATGCCCACATCTTGAATACTGTGTACAGATGTGGTCTCCTTATCTCAAAAAAGATATACTGGCACTAGAAAAGGTTCAGAGAAGGGCAACTAAAATGATTAGGGGTTTGGAACAGGTCCCATAGGAGGAGAGATTAATGAGGCTAGGACTTTTCAACTTGGAAAAGAGGAGACTAAGGGGGGATATGATAGAGGTATATAAAATCATGAGTGGTGTGGAGAAAGTGAATAAGGAAAAGTTATTTACTTGTTCCCATCATATAAGAACTAGGGGCCACCAAATGAAATTAATGGGTAGCAGGTTTAAAACAAATAAAAGGAAGTTCTTCTTCACACAGCGCACAGTCAACCTGTGGAACTTCTTGCCTGAGGAGGTTGTGAAGGTTAGGACTGTAACAGGGTTTAAAAGAGAGCTGGATAAATTCATGGAGGTTAAGTCCATGAATGGCTATTAGCCAGGATGGGTAAGGAAGGGTGTCCTTAGCCTCTGTTTGTCAGAGGGTGGAGATGGATGACGGGAGAGAGATCACTTGATCATTACCTGTTAGGTTCACTCCCTCTGGGGCACCTGGCATTGGCCACTGTCGGCAGACAGGACACTGGGCTGGATGGACCTTTGATCTGACCCAGTATGGCTGTTCCTATGTTCTTATGTGTTCTTCTTATGGTGTCCCTGGCCTCTGTTTGCCAGAAGCTGGGAATGAGCGACGGGATGGATTACTTGGTGATTCCCTGTTCTGTTCATTCCCTCTGGGGCACCTGGCATTGGCCACTGTTAGGATACTGTCACGATAGAGACAGGACACTGAGCTAGATTGCCCATTGGTCTGATCCAGTCTGGCCACTCTTATGATCTTAGGTTTCTGTTTTGTAGCCAATCTGTGCCCCAAGTCAGCAGTTTCCCTCTTGCCCTTATGACTACATCGTGTCTTTAAATGGCTCCTATGAGGGACTTTGTCACAGACTTCTTGAGAGTTCCCATCGTTATAGTGACCAACTGCTGTTTAACTACTCTGTGCCTGACACAGGCGCAACATTCTGGTTTTCAAGAGGTGCTAATCTGTCCTGCTACTCTGGGCGTTTTCTTCTGCTGAAGAATGTTGTCGTCCCTTGGGGAGTGGAACATGGAGCAAATACCGGATGCAGAGTCTTAGTGACTAATGATGTATGTTCCCAGGTGACAGAAGTGAAACGTTTCACTACCCCCGAGGAGCTAATGAGCTTTCTGCAGAGCTTTAATGCGCAACTGTGGAATCAATCACCGGAGGAGGGACCTCATGCGCTGAATGCCACTGAGTTCACCTTTACAGCCTCAGTTATCGCTTGCTGCTTCTACGATGATCCCCAGGGTGGCACTGACCTCCACCGCTTCTATGGCGCTTCCCTCTCATGTAAGGGGCACCATGAAAGATGCATCATGATTAAGTTGTCCTCTGTAAAAACATGGCATAAGGCTGTTGCCTATGCAGTGGAACATAAGGGTGATGGTCCGGCCATCACTTTCCCTGAGGGGGTGTGGAGCCAGGCCTTTCAGTTTAGTGTTAAAGAACAAAAGTATCAGGAGAAGTCACCCTGTGAGAAGTGTCAGCAATTGTTTAGGAACGTGAACTTTCGGCCCCCTCCCATTGCCCCCCCAAACGGGGGCACGTGGCAGTATGGGAACTGCGCTGAGGTGGAGTCCTTGAGCAAACTCCTGCTGGGGACCAGCGTGGTGGAGGAGGGAGTTCGGTCAACAAGCACACCCCCTCTAAACTATGAAGCCATAGAGAGGGACTTCACAGGTAAAATGGAGGCAAAAGTTAAAGCAAAGCTTATTCAGAAGCTGGGGTCAAGACAGTTCAAGGCCAAGCCATTACAGTTTTTCAGTCTCCAGTGACTGAGAGTGGCAGCGATGGGGGAGTCAGGCTGGCATTCTGTGCAGCTCCGGCACCCTCCTGATCGGGGGCTGTTGCAGGGGTCACAGGTTCTCTGGTTCTACCTCCCCCTCCAACACAGCCCACAGCAGCAGAGACTGCCCAGAGTGCATATGCTATGGGGACCCCCCCAGCCCTGCCCCTCCCTTGTACAGGGTCTGTGTGCTGGAGGGAGCATGCCCCCAGAGTCTAACTGGATAAGGACTGTGGTAGAGGGGGGCACACAGCTCGTGTGTCTCTGAAGCTGTTTGATTGGTAATTCAGCCTACCCCACCTCCTGACCCTCAAGGAGAAAAGAGAAACAAAGGAGACTTGCTACGGCTTTGATGCAGCCCTTGGTCCAGGCTCTCCACTGAGACCCCAGTGACTAGCCTATCGCACCAACACTGGAGGCTGCGCTGTCTTTGGAGCCTGTCAGTGTTTGTGGGAGGCTCCATTTAGAACTAGTCCCTTCCTGCAATAGAGCTGCAGTCTTGGGCCCCATCTAATCCATCCCCCAGGGACCAATACACGATTGCTTCTTACTGCACATTCGCTGGTGCTACAGCCAGCCCTTCGCTTGGGGGCTATTCCACAGCCTGAGCCATCTCCCTGGCAAGAAGCTTTCTCCCAACTTTTCCTTTTCTTAATATCATCAGCTCCTTCCCCGCTGTTATTCTGCATGGGTCCCCTGGGAACAATTCCGCTCCCTCTCATCTGCTCACACCCTTCAGACATTTAGCTGGTGATGCTGCTTCCCACCTAGTCTAACACTCACAGCTCTGACTTGGCCAGCGGCACTCCGGGGATACCGTAGCGAACAGAGCCATGGGGGACACCTTCAGAGTTCAGAGACGGTCAGTGACAGACATCCAGCTGTGAATTCCCCATTACCAGAAACGGTCATGAGCTGGAGTGAGACCTCTTCTCTTTGCACCAACCGTCCCTCGGGATGGCTGCAGAGTGTCCAAGCCCCACCTCCCTGGACAAGGATCACCAAGTATAGTACACCCTCACTATAACGCCCTTCACAATAGCACACCTGGTCCCTGGATCCCACCTCCAGCCCCGCCCGGGGGGCAGAGCGCTCCACCTGCCGCGCGGTCACGGCCGGCCAGATTGCGCCTCTGGCCCCAGGGCCCCAGCTGCGGTTCCGGGACCACAGGAGCTCTCAGCTCTGCTGCAGGGCTTGAGGTGTCAGCCCCTCCCAGCAGGGCTCTTTTCCTATAACAAACCCCTAGCTACAACGACCAAATGGCTTGGATTCCCAGGGGTTCCTTAGAGCGAGGGCATACTGTATGCTCCCACTTAAGACCAGACTCTTCCTCCTCACTTGGTGGAAGATGCTTCCCCTCACACAGAAATAGACCTCATGTGTCTGGAACCTCGGGACTACAGCCTGCTGTACTGGAAATGCAGGTGGTGGGCATGAAGGTGGCTTTACATTAGACTGTAAACGCTTCTGCTGAGGGACCTGTTGTTCCTAGCTGTTCGTACAGCCCCCAGCACAGGGGGGCCCTTAGGTGCTAATGCAATGCAAACAGTACAAGTTTGGTCTATTGGATATGGGGTTGGAGTCCTGGGCAGATTGTCTGTTTTTGCTGTATTTAAATAAACTCACCTGATTTTACTTGAAGTTTTGGGGCAGGGACCTGTGCATCTGGGAAGCCCCTCACACGCCTTCTGGGGCATTATAATAACAGTTTTGTATATGGCTAAGAAGCCTAAAGTGGCCTGCCCTCAGAAGACATGGCATTAAATCAGAGGGAGAAGGGAACTACGCTCTGCTCTTTAATAAACTGATAGCAATGTTTAATTACTAACAAACCCCTCCACAGAGCTCCTGCCTGCAGATGGGCTCCAGTGGGCAGGCCCATTACCTCCTAGCCTAGGAGCAGCAGAGGGCCAGCTGTCAAAGCAGGAAAGGGTGGGGCGGGGCACTCCATCAGCAAGGCTGCCAAGGACAGGGGAGTCATGGGGCAAAGGTACCCTAGTAAACATGAGGCTGTGGTCTCTGCACATTCCAGCCCCCCAGCAGTAAGTTCCTCCTGCCCCGGGGGCAAGCAGGCTGACTGACAGTCTGGAACGAATGGGAGAAAGTCCTGAGTTCACAGTTTACTTTGCAATTCAAGGTACCAAAAGTCTGAGGCAGCTCCACTGCTCCCACCAACCTGCTGGGGGCACACTCAGTCCTGCTGCTCCCCCCCCCCGCTCTCATTCCCAGGTGGAGGGCTGATGAGACTGCTGCTCAGCCACCTCTACCGCTCCTGGATCCTAGTCTTGGTGACAGAGTCGGTGTGAGCTGCCTGGAGTCAGAGTCAGAGTCAGCCCCCGTCAGCTGGCAGGAAACACCAAAGCTGGACACAGCAAATTCAGCTGGGCTCCTTGAGGGTGGAGCGAAGCCATTGCAGCACATCGGGCAGCCCCGTGCCATCACGGGCGCTGGTCTCCACCACAGTGATGGGCTGGTTAGCACAGGAAATGATATCTTGAATCCGGAACAGCGATTTCATCTCCACCAGGGACATGTAGCAGGGCAGGTCGCTGGAGCCACATTTGGGGATAGGAAGAAAGGGAGAGAGAGAGATTGTGCTAAACCATCAGTGACCCAACTTAGAGCAACTGGAATTTGCCATTTCTGTTAAGTGATCCCTGCGAGGGGCTGCACAGGGTGACTGGCCTTTTAGAGAGAATTAGGGCCAATTTACCCACAACTAAGGCTGGTCAGCCAGCCTTGGGGTTAACTGATTGCCCATGTGGTTGATTAGTCCTCAATTAGGGATGCACCTGACTGTAATAAAATAGCCAGAACTCAGTAAGGAAGGGAACCCAGCAAGGTGATCGGGGGGCCTCCTGGTCAGAGGAGACCCCCGGCAAGAAACAAGGGAAGTATTTCCGATACAATCATGGGAAAATGGATGAGAGCCGAATCCCAGCTCTGGGGAGTAGAACTGGCTGAAATCTTTATGCTATGTTAGCCAAGGGATTGGTGAGAGTACTGCCCAGCTCTGGGGAGCACTGGGAAGGCCGTGAGGTGGTATTTTATGTTAAGGGCAGAAGGACTGGTGAGAACAGTACTCCAGATCTGGGGAGGAGAGCTGCGGGGAGGGGTGTTGTGAACAAGGAAGATACAGAGACCATGTAAGAGGAATCTCCAACTCTGGAGCTAGGAGTGGGACCCAGGACCTGAGTGGAAGCTCTTTCCTTGTTTGGGATTTGTCCTGTTAATTAAAGGAATATTCTTCAATGCAAGCTTGAATGTTTGGACTTGGTTACAAAGACAGGTTGGGGAAACAGAAGCAGCACCTCTAGTGCTGCAGCTGGTTGCTATGGGATGGCAGAGGGCCCTCAGTGGGACCAGATGAAATGGATAATCTGAAATGGGTAGAGTATCCCCCCAGCCTACCTGCCTCTCAGGGACTTATCTGGCTGCAGATGACGATATAGGCAAAAAGTGACTGCACCAGGAGTCCCAGATTTCCTCCCTTTGCCCTCCCCTATGGAGACAGATCACTTTCAGCCTGGAGGAATCCTTGGCTTACATCTTATTGAACAGGATCAGGACGGATGCCGAGGCAAGCTGCTCTGCGGAGAGGAGTGACAGGAGCTGGACGCAGGATGAAGAGATCTGGGTGGGGTTAGCTGCATCAATCATGAACTGGGAAGAAGCAGAGTGAAAGATCCAGGTGGGGCATTAATTAAAATGTAAGGCAGTTGCTTGGGAGATGCAGGTTACCCCACAGACCAGCTCCAGAACGGGGAGTGGGAGGAGATTAAAACATGAGGGAAACGAAGTGAGAGGCCCTGGTGTAGAGTTCTGGGGGCCCTTCCCTGGATTTGTAGCCCCACTCCACAGGCCACTTGATGGTGATGTGCCCCCCCAGCCATGCCTATAAACACACAGGCCCCAGTTGCTCAGGAGTAGCACAGATCGAGATGATGGCGTCACCCTGCTGTAAAATGGGTGAGTGAGATTAGAATCAAGCCCACAAGGTGATCCAGAGGGATCTCACGAGCCCTGAGTGGTAAGTTGCAGGGAGAAGTTGAGGCATGAAAAATGGAAGGCCAGTGAAGAGTCTGGCCCTGAGGTGAGGTGTTCCCTCACTCCATGGCCAGTTCCACTCGTTCGAGGGCTTTGGGCAGGGACAGTAGGACCTGTGCTACTGTGGAAGGGTTAGAGTTTTCAATAAGTGTCAGTAAATGTTGTTTTCACTGTACACACAAACGGGTGACAAATTATTTCCATTGACAAGTCAAATTTACAGATAGGCAAAGTAAGAAAAATGTTGCTTGAGAATGTGAGAGACTCAGAGAATTGTCGAACACCCCTCCCCCCCATTTTCTGCAACTGTGAAAATTTAAATCAATAAAAATTTGAAAAAATACTTAAAAATAAACAGTGATATTATTTGCTGAAATGATTTTAAAAAATCTATTTCTGCCAGGCCTAATTATGTCTAAACACCAGTGATTTCCCCTTGAGTGAGCATTACAATGCAAACAACTTTACACGGTGACAAGAGGCAGCGTGGTCTGAGCATGGCCAGGACTCCTGGGTTCTATTTCATTCTGCCATGGACTTGCTGTGTGGTCTTGGGAAAGTCACTTCCTCTCTCTCTGTGCCTCTGCCTACCCAGCTGTACAATGGGATGTATCTCCCTCTCCCAGAGGGAGCTGTTACCATTACTCAGACATGGTGGGTCAGTCGGCCCTCCACATGTAGTGCAAGGCAGTTCCAATGTAGCCTGAGCCAATGGACTGTTGGGTTAGATGTTGATGGGCCAGGAAAAGGTCACATTCAGAATCTAGACCCAAGGGATGTGCACTCACCAGGACAGCGCTGCAGTCTCCATAGTAACTAGGCCAGATAGGGCCCATGCAGCCCCCTAGCTCCCGAATCGTGATCTTCTTCTGGATCAGAAGGTCAGTTAGATTTGTGCCCACCTGCAAGGTTAGAAGACAACACCAGCCAGAGTCAGTCTCTGTAGAGACGTTTGTGTTCCTCACAACCGAGTCCATCTCTTGTTAGTACATCACGGAGCTGCTGGTTAAAAAAGTGACCCTTTGGGGCCTGTCTACGCTGCGAAAGAGCACCACTGCGTGGGGGTAGCTGTGCTGCAAATGACACTGTTCTATTCATAAGTGAGAACCCGCAAAAGCAAGAGGATTGGATTGGATTACTAAGGCTGCAGTAAATCAAAGAAGAGGGGCAGCTATGGGAAGAAACTTCCCAGCAGCAGTTCAGTCAGCAGTCACCTGCAGGGCCCCCCCACACACCATTCAGGGTTTAAGCAGGTGTCACATAGGGATGGGATTCCCTGGGACTGACCAAGTGGAGCAACGTTGGCTGAACTGGTATCAGAAGGTTTCTGCTGATGTCTTCTGACACGTGCAGGTTCCTCAGGGGCGGCCTTTTGTTCTGTGTAGCCTAGCCAGGCTGAGTCTCCCTGGCTCTGTTAACACCTTACTAACACAAATGCAACAGAATCCTGGCCCCACTGCCTCACACTGACCCACCCACCCAGAGCGCAGCAGCCTGGCCCCTCGCAAGGTTGATCTACAACTAGCTGAGTGATGCTGGACAGAAGTCCTGGTCTCGACTGAGCACTCAGACATGGCCACATCTGGCCAGCAAACGGCACCGAACACGCTGATGCTGTGAAATGCAGACAGGCCCAGTGAGCCAGAGCGCTGCCCTGGCCATACCGTGGGCAGTGTGGGGGGAGGCTCCCCAAGCTCTCGGGACCCATCCTTGGAGCACAGCTGTGCAGGAAGCTGTCAAGGAGCATGGGGGGAAGGAAGATCATCACCCAGACACGGCTTCACCCAGGCACCCAGGGGCTGGAGCTTGGAGCGCTGGCTCCCCCCCGGCTTGTGGGGGTTTCCATGTATACGGGGTTACAGTCTGGTTCAATGGCTCTCAGCCCCCCCATTGCTCCAGCACCTACCCGGGGGACCCCACAGCGCCGGCCGGAGACTAGAGCCGGGCATTGCCGCCCCGTCCCGGGAACGGGCATCCCCCCGGAACAGGCTGCCTCTGCCCCCTCCGGGCACCCCATTCCCCCTCCCCGGGCACCCCCCACCCAGCCCCCTCCCCC